CCCACTTGTCCTGTCACCCCCCTCTTCTAGCCCAGATACTGGTGAGCATGGCTCCTGATCTTTCTGAGAGGGATACTGATAGGCCAGGACAAAGCCCAAGGGTGTGAAATAGAAAGTGGAAGAGGAAGCGAGGATGAGGAGACAACAGGAGCCTTGGGAGAGCAGCCAGGGAGGCTGAGAACAAGGTCGAGTAGGAGACTTCAGTGGCCCATAGGTTCCACTGCCCTTACCCACTTCTTTTGCCCTGCAGGTCTCAGCAGTGTCTCTTCACCTTCGGAGATGTCAGATGCCACTTTCTCTGTTACATCAGCTTACTCTAGTGCTCCAGATGGCAGTCCTCCTCCTGGTCCTCTACCAGCCTCTGAGATCACCATGGAGGAGATGGTCCCAGGCCAGCTCTCCTCGGGTATACCCGAAGCCCCTTGGCTCCTCATGGACTTTGAAGCCACCAACCCCAAAGGGTCCCCACCCTCTCCTCCTGCTCTCCCGCCAGCCCCAGATGATGGGGCTGTTCCAGAGGACACCGATGCCCCACAGTCTGTGGATGTGATCCCGGTACTGTTTATATTGGCATAATTATGAGGGCTAAAAGTACAGTGGGTACAGACATGAAGTGAGGCAGACTATTCCATGATCCAGAATCAGAGATTGGCCTCACTTTAGGAAAAAGGGCTATTTACATTCCCGTTTTGGGACAGGCAAGGTAATTCTTTGCACAACTCCTTTCAAATCTTGTGACTTGTAGTCATAATGCAGCAGAATGTAGGAATTCTGGCAAATATCTTCACTTACAGCTGGGCTTTTAGTGATTACCTGTTGATCCATAAAAGGACAAGGTTCTTGGAGAACCAGAAGATAGTGGGTAGCTGGGAAGTATATAAGACAATGAGTTGGCAAGACAGAAGTAACAGGAAGTGATCTGGGGTGGGAAGGAGACTTGCACATGTTAAAAGCCAAGAAATTAGAAGTCTTTGCTTCCCTGGCAAGCTTAAGGGCCTGAGTTCAATCCCTGGTTCCACAAGAAAAAAGAAAAAGAAAAATAAACTAGAAGTCTTATGGAATGAATGAGAAAACGAAGGAATACATTTTCAAGTTTAGCTATGTGCTTCCCTCCTAGAACCAGGGGATAACTTGCTCTAGAAAGGCTAAAGAAGGGTCAGGGGTTTGATCCCTGGCACCACATGCTGAGCTGGCCAACAAATCCAGGCGTGATGGTACACACTTATAAGCCCAGTGCTGGGGAGGCTGAAAGCAGCAGGATCCAAGCTGTGTAGTGAGACCCTGTACCAAATACATAAAAAAGAAGGGCTAAAGAGTAATTAGGTAGCAGTCTAAATACAAACACATAAGAGACCGCCACAAAAAAGGCTGGGTGAGGTATAGGAACAGGAAGTACTACAGGTTTCAGGGCTGGACTGAAGGACTGGCTAAAACAGTTCATGTGGCCAGCAAAGACTGGGCTGATTCTTGGAGAGCTGAAGGGGGTGGGGTGAGTCAGGGCTAAGCTCAAGGGAAAGATGTGCTGGTTGGCTGCCATTGGAGCAGGCACCAGTGGGACTTTTGGCATTCAGCCTAGAAGGGTGTCAAGTCCTTTATTAGCTCCCCTCCTGATTGCCCATGTAGCATGTGTGCTTGCTATCCTGTGATCTCCACATAGAGCACAGTGGCTGCTCAACACCCACCCACCCCCGCCCCGGGAGCTGGCAAGAATAAGTGAACTAATCAGGAGCAGCAGTGATAAAATCAGTTAGCAAGAGAGCAGTCCCTGAAGGGTATCTGGTAGTCGAGTGGACCAAGGCTACAGCTTTGTGGTTTTTGTTTTTTGTTTTTTTTTTTTTGCGGAACCGGATATTGAACTCAGGCCCTTGTGCTTTCAGGCCCTTGCGCTTGCCAGGCAAGCACTTATTCTACTGAGCCATCTCCCCGGCCCCTTTGTGGGTTTTTTTTAATGGTACCGGGGATCAAATTCAGGACCTTTGTTTCTTTTTTTTATTTTTTGGCGGAACCAGTGATTGAACTCAGACCCTTATACTTGCCAAGCAAGTGCTTATTCTACTGAGCCATCTCTCCGGCCCCTAAATTCAGGACCTTGAGCTTGCCAGGCAGGCGCTTATGCCACTAAGCTATCTCCCCAGCCCAAAGGCTATAGCTTCAGGAGAGCAGAAGCACCTGGCAGTGGGGGTCCCCTCCTGGCTTACACAACTGTTCCCTTCATCCAGGTGGATATGATCTCCCTGGCTAAGCAGATCATTGAAGCCACTCCAGAGCGCATTAAACAAGAGGACTTCGTGGGGCTACCTGAGGCTGGAGCCTCAATGCGGGAGCGGACAGGGGCTGTTGGACTCAGTGAAACCATGTCCTGGCTGGCCAGCTACCTGGAGAATGTGGACCATTTTCCTAGCTCTGCCCCTCCCAGGTGACTAGCTCTGGAAAAAGCCTCCAGATTCTTCAAAGGAAAAAGGAGGGAGGAAGCAGGCTTCCCCACAGCCAAAGCACCTGTCTACTTGAGACCCATAATATTGTGAGAAAGGAATTGGACTGGCCCATGAACTCTGAAGCTATTCTCTCTAGACTTGCTGGGGGCCTTCCTTCATAGCCACCCGTAGATGGGACACCAGGGACCTCGGATACCCCATAACATTCATTCTCTTGTTTCCCACAGTGAACTGCCCTTTGAGCGAGGTCATCTGGCTGTCCCTCCAACACCTTCCTGGGCGGAGTTTCTCTCTGCATCTACCAGTGGCAAGATGGAAAGTGACTTTGCCCTGCTGACACTGTCAGATCACGAACAGCGGGAATTGTATGAGGCAGCCCGAGTCATCCAGACAGCCTTCCGAAAGTACAAGGTTAGGGGATTATGGTTATCAGAATAAAGTAAGGGGAGACTATGGGCTCCCAGGACATTTGGAGGAAGAGTGGTTATCCACACTCGCCTTCACACTAGAGAAAGAATCTTGGGGCCCCTGAGAAACTAGAAGGCCTACAACACTCTAGGTGGGCGGTAAGGTGCTGAGACTTTCTCTCCCCTCAGGGCCGTAGGCTGAAGGAGCAGCAGGAAGTAGCAGCAGCTGTGATCCAGCGCTGTTACCGGAAGTACAAACAGGTGAGTCCTCTCAAAGGATGTGGTGGCAACAGCCGGGTGTGGTGGCACAGGCCTGTAATCCCAGCACTTGGGAGGCTGAGGCAGGAGGACTGAGTTCAGAGCCAGCCTCGGCTACACAGTAAGTTCAAGGTCAGCCTGAACTGCCTAGCAAGGCCTTGTATTAAAAATCAAAACAAAATACAAACAAGTCACATCACACACACTCCAAGACTGCTACCAGAGCCTTAACTCCCCTTCTCTCTCCACAAGCTGACCTGGATTGCACTTAAGGTACCAGGCATGAGATCTGGGTGTGAGTTGTCTGTGCTGATTTAGCCTTTCCATGAGTGAGGGTTAAAGAGACCTGCATCCACCTACCCTGGGGCTGATCCTCAGGAACTTGAGTCCCCTGTTCCTCCATTTCAGCCCCTGCCCCTCTTCCCCATTCCCACAGTTTGCACTCTATAAAAAGATGACCCAGGCGGCCATCCTGATCCAGAGCAAGTTCCGAAGTTACTATGAACAGAAGAGATTTCAGCAGAGCCGCCGAGCTGCTGTGCTCATCCAGCAGCACTACCGCTCTTACCGCCGCCGCCCAGGGCCTGCCCATCGGCCCTCAGGGCCCCTGCCTGCTCGAAACAAGTATGGCCTGAGCACTCCAGCCCTCACCGGATCCTGCTCCACCAAGTCCATTCCCTGTTTCCCATTGCTTTGCCCATCCATGCTTCCCTGTGGGGCTCCCAAGGGGCTGGGGATGTGGGGTGCCTAGGTGTTCTGAGGTCCCCCCATACATCTTTCTTCCACCAGAGGCTCTTTTCTCACTAAGAAGCAGGACCAGGCAGCCAGGAAGATCATGAGATTCTTGCGGCGCTGCCGACACAGGTGCCCACGTGTCCCTCCCCTCAGTGTATTTCTGCCTGGCCACACTTCCCTTATCTGACTCGGTCCTTGTCTCTCCATAGGATGAGGGAAATGAAGCAGAACCAGGAGCTGGAAGGGCTTCCTCAGCCGGGACTGGCCACCTGACCAAGCGGTCTGCCACCGTTCTCACCACCCCAGGGCCCTTCTTGCAGTCTTAACAGGAAGAGCGATGTCTGGGGCAGGGGGAGCCCCTGTTGGCAGCTTTCCCCAACCCCTCTGTAGGGGCTATAGTGCCACCCCACACCTGCTCCCACATCCCTCTTCTGGTTGTGCCTCCTCTTCTGGGTCCCAGGCTCCTGAAGACCCACGCCCCACATACCTGCATCTTCAGCTGTGACCTACGGAGCCCTGCCTGCCCCTCCTCCACAGCCCCCTCCCTGCCTGCACCCGACTCTCCCCTTCCTGACTTGCCTTATTTATTTGTTCGATGAGTCTGAATGTATCCGCCTCGGTTCCCCCCCCCCCCCCGCCTTCTGCGCACCCTCGTGTTTTGGGGCTGACCGTGCCCCCACCCCGACTCCGCATGTTTGCGTCTGTTTCCTCCCCGGCCCTGTCTTTCTTGGTCACCCCGACCCTGGCCACCTCATCCGGGGCCAAAAGGGAGGGGTGTGCAAAGGACCGCGTCGCGGAGTCCCGTCCCCGAGGACAGGGGGCTTGTACATACTGTAACATACAGAGTATAGTGAAGAATCTATTTAAGGCGCCCGGGGAGGGCTGCGCGGCCAAACGTGTGGTTCCCTGGCGCGGCGGGGCTCCTGCCAGCTCCACGAGCACTTTCTACTTGTGCATGGGCTTGGTTTATACAAATTGCCATTAAACATCGCTGCACCAGCCAGCCTCCTGCCTCTGTCTGCAGGGGGGCGGGGCGCGGGGCTCGCTGGCATGGGGGAGGGAGACGCCGCGGTCGCGGGCCTTGGACCTGCGCCCTGACAGGGAGAGTGCGCAGTTTTCCGCCTCCGACGTATTTCCGGCCTTAAAGGCATTTCGCCCTTCCCTTTAAAATGCACCGCCCCCTCTCAGTCACTCCCAAGATGGCGGACCTACTGGGCTCCATCCTAAGCTCCATGGAGAAGCCACCCAGCCTCGGTGACCAGGAGACGCGGCGCAAGGCCCGAGGTGAGGATCCCAAATTCACAACCACCTTTCTTCGCCCGGTTCTCAGGATCGCATTCTTCCCTCTTTGGATGGTGCTGCCTCTTGTACTTTAAAAGACCCCTCACAGGCCCCTTCTGAGACCCTCACAGTCCCTAATAGGGCTAACCGGCCCGCCTGCTGTTCTTAGCGGACGGTGATTGGCTGCTTGACGTGTGGCGTCAACCTCCTGCCTCTTTTCTACCCCGACCTACCGCAGTCCTTGTTTCCAATTAGCCGACGGGCCTGCCTATCAACTCTTGGTGAGCTCTGATTGGGAAGACGCCTCCAGGCCCACCCACCTTCCCTCTTTCTGATTGGAGAATTGTTTACGCTTCTATCACGGCCACCTCACCACCTCCAGCTCTATTCCGATTGGGTTCAAGGCGCGCTCATCCACAGTTCTTTCACCACTATTAGCTATCTCAAAGCTCTACCTTCTAAGTGTTGTTGAACCTTCTTCCTGACCCACCCAACACACCGCACTTCCCATTGGTTGCTGGGTCTTCCGTGTCCATCCGCCCCTCCCTCTTGGTTTAAGCCTGTGCCACAGCCTTCTCTTCAATAACCCTTTTCCTATCTACCCTTAAATTCCTGAGGTTCCCGGGCGGGTCATGAAGTTGATTGGAGAGAAGAGAATGCTACCCGGGTCCAATTGGCCACAATCCGCCTCCCAGCAAGCGGACTCCAATTCGGCAGCCCACGTAGGGTGTGGCCCGGTGGGACCGCGGAAGCAATAGTGTCCCCTATTTGCTAAACACCTACTTTGAGATGGGTCGCACACTGAAGGAATAATCACACAGGAGTTTCGCGCTCACTGAAGAAATGATCACACAGGAGTTTAATAAATTACTGTGAGAGAAAGGATGAAAGTATTTAGGGGCAAAAGTATATTTGCAAATTCTGAGAAAGGAGAGGGCATACTGGGAAGAGAGACTCGAATTATCTGCTGGTCAGGCGACTGTTGAGGTGCTGGAATCTCAGCTGCAGCTGACAGACTAGGCATCTTCAATGTAGTCACTTGCCCGAGGTCAGTGAGTTTCAAACGCAGGTAAAGCTCTCCCTCCCCACTTTCCTCCTTTTGTTGAGACTGGCTAGACAGGAAACACTGGTGATCCTTCTTCCTCAGCCTTCTAGAGTGCTGCTGTTAAAAGCATGTGCTACCATTCCTGCCTAAAGCTACATTCTTAGCCATAATCTTATGCCACCTCTCAAGATGCAGAGAAGAAACCCAGTTAGAAAACAGTGGCCAAGACAAGAGGTGCTGATAACAAGGTCAGAGAGATGGGAGCTTCTAGGCTGTAAGGCCCTGTGGCACCGGAGAATGACTAGACAGAGGATCAGCATGCTCGGCACCCAGTAACTAACTCATAGTCTGGTAGGCAAGACAAAACCCTACAGAGTGTTAATGCTGAGCACATGGCTCTCTAGTGAGCCAAAATATGCTTGGATGCCAGAGGAAGAAGTAACTGACTCGTGGCAGTTACTGTTTGTAAGAGGAGGAAAATTCCAAATGCAAGGAACAACATATACAAAAGCATGGAGTGATTACAAAACAGAGGTTCAGTGCAACTGAGAGGGATTTATATATTGTGGAAGAAGTAGACTTCTTAGATGTGGCAGAAGAGGGGGTGCATTTTAGGCTAAGGAACAAGAGTAGGAAGAGGTGTGAGGTATGGTGGCACATGCCTCTAATCTCAGCACTCTGGAGGCTGAGGCAGGAGAATCACTGTGACTTCAAGACCAACCTGGGCTGCATAGTTCAAAGCCAGTTTGAATGCCACAGTGAAACCCTATTAAACACACACACACACACACACACACACACACACACAAAAGTAGGAAGGAGTACTTGCCTAGCTTGGGAGACAGCTCAGTAGAATAAGTGCTTGCCTGGCAATCTCCAGTTCGGCAAAAAAAAAAAGGAAAATCACAGATGAGAGTGAATGTTGTTCACTCATAATCACAATGGAAGAAATTAAGTACTTGCCCAAAACTCAAGAGGCAGTAAAATTCCATCACAGGGAAAATTGGCAAGCATAAGGGCCTCAGGGTAGAAATGTACTTGTCTTAGGGATAGGCATGTAGTCCAGTGATCATATTAGTGTTTAGCATGCATGGATTTGATCCTTAGTCCCCCCCCCCTTTCTAGGGACACATAGAATTTGATACTGATGTAAAGGCAGGCTAAGGAAGAAAAGCTTTTTATGCTATCTCCAGAGCTAGGTTTCCTAGGCTAGACTCAAACCTATGATTCTTTTTTTTTTTTTTTTTTTTGGCAGAACTAGGGATTGAACTCAGGCCCTTGCGCTTGCCAGGGAAACACTTATTCCACTAAGCTATCTCCCTGGCCCCAAACCTGTGATCCTTGTACCTCAGCTTCTAGGAGTACTGGGGTTATAGGCATGTACCAGGATTCCTGGCTAAATTGGAGAGGTTCTTAATAACTCACCTTAGATACCTATGTCCCCAAAGAAAAAGGATATTAGATTAGCAATTTTAGCTTTGTCCTGTTTATAGAAATAAGAAGTTGGGAGGGGATTTATGAGATATAGGAAGTTGGATAGTTTCCCCTTTTCCACATAGACAATCCGTAGTCTGGCCTCCTCAGTCATTCCCACTGATCCATGAGCTCTTGAAGGGCAGAACTGTGTGTTCATCATCCTGGTACTCTAGAGCCTAGCACAGTGCCCAGTCTGTAATAAGCATCAGTATACGTTTGGTGAATTAACAGTAATCCTATCTTCCCAACCTGACACGTTCCAGTGGACACCAGACTTCCTTCTAAGCCTTCCTTCTTCCCCACCCATGTTGCTTCCCCAGTCTCATGCTGCCATTTCTTACCCACAGAGCAAGCTACCCGTCTGAAGAAACTACAAGAGCAAGAGAAACAACAGAAAATAGAATTTCGTAAAAGGGTGAGAACTATGCAGAGCAAAGGCAGCCTCAGGAAGGCTTCCAATAAGTTTGAGTTGAAAGGTTGAGGACTGAGCTGTATTGAAATGTCTTAAGGGAGGTGAAGCCTAAGTGTTAGTGGTGTGATGGCTGGGAAAGGTGGAGGGAGGTAGAGAAGGGCCATTGATTGGCCCAGTTGGGGAGAGGGATACTTGGGTGGAGCTATTATTTCATATCTTCTTCCCTTTCCTTCTCCTAAGATGGAGAAAGAAGTGTCAGATTTCATCCAAGACAGTGGGCAGATCAAGAAAAAGTTTCAGCCTATGAACAAGCTAGAGAGGAGCATACTGTGAGTGTCTCAGGGCTGGGGGAGGCGGGATATGGGCTTTGGGGGCATGAAAGGGCCAGCAGGGGACCTCTCAAGGGGCAATCATATGTTTCCTCATAGCTCAACACACTCTTTTCTGCCTTCCTTTCTCAGACATGATGTGGTGGAAGTAGCAGGCCTAACATCCTTCTCCTTTGGGGAAGATGATGACTGTCGCTATGTCATGATCTTCAAAAAGGTAAGAGGCAGGACAAGGTGGTCCACCCTGTAATTCCAGCACTAGGGATGCTGAGTCAGGAGGCTTGCCACAAGTTCAAGGCCAGCCAGGGGCTGGGGAGATAGCTCCATGGCCTAAATACCTGCTTGGCACGTGCAAGGACCCAAATTCTATCTCTGCTACCTTATGCCATGCCAACCTTGCGCCAAGCCGGCCCAAGATTGGGTGTGGTGGCGCACTCGTGTAATTTCAGCATGGGGGAGGCTGAGTCAGGAGGATCACTACAAGTCAGAGCTGTGAGCTGTTTCGCAAAAAAAAAAAAAAAAAAAAAAAAAAGGCCAGCCTGAACTACATAGCAAGACCCTGTCTCTAAAAACTGAAGAAAAGAAAGACAAACCAAAAATAGGTAAAAGGCCTGAGTTCCTCACTCCCCTTTTCAGCCAGTCCCTTCACCTGGCAGACAGGAATGGGATTAAGCATTTATATGGACTCCTAACTCCACCATTTCCTTCTTCTCCAGGAGTTTGCACCTTCAGATGAAGAGCTGGAATCATACCGCCATGGAGAGGAGTGGGATCCCCAGAAGGCTGAGGAGAAGCGAAAGCTAAAGGTGAGTTGTGCCTGGCAATCCCTGGAACCCAACAACTGCCACCAACATTTGTAAGGGCTCACAGTCAGGCCCCTGAGTACCAGTGCCCTATGTCTGTGCCCCAAGGAGCTGGCCCAGCAGCAGGAGGAGGAGGCAGCCCAGCAGGGACCTGTGGTGGTGAGCCCTGCCAGTGACTACAAGGACAAGTATAGCCACCTTATTGGCAAAGGGGCAGCTAAGGATGCGGCCCACATGCTACAGGCCAATAAGACCTATGGCTGTGGTAAGCCATGGAGGGAGCTGGGGGAGCCATGACGGTAGGATGGGGGATGTGAGCAGAGGCTGAGGTCCTGCCCACTTTCCCTTCTTCCCCAGTGCCTGTGGCCAACAAGAGGGATACACGTTCCATTGAAGAGGCCATGAATGAGATCCGAGCCAAGAAGCGTCTGAGGCAGAGTGGGGAAGAGTTGCCAACTAACTCTTAGGAACCCCACCAGCTCCCTTTGACCTCTTGGGGCAGGGCAAGGGGTAGGGAGGGAGAAGACTGCTGCTATTAGGACCCATCCTGAAGCCCCACTCTGGAACCACCTTCTGCCAACTGTCACTCAGGCTGGGGGGAAGCAGGTGTTTGTCACTGTTGGAGCGTGGATATGTATATGTGTGTATAATTGTGTGTATGTGTGATGTGTGTGTAAAAGAGTGAATGCACAAGTGGATATTTAATCTGTATTATTCTCTGTTCTTGGAATTTTCTTCCCCATGGGGCTGGGTTGCTTTACATTCAATAAACACTGTTTGACCCAACACCCTATTTGGTACATAGAAAAACAGGTCTTAGAGACACAGCCAGAGGAGAAAAATAATATTAAGTTAGATAGTATAAAATTGTTGTCTGTGTGAATCAAAGGTAACCAATTATTGGGATTGGGACTTACTAGATAGTGCCTTTTTGTTTATTTAATTTATTTATTTATTTAGCAGGACTGGGGATTGAACTCAGATCCTTGCTTTTGCCAGTCAAGTGCTTATCCCTACTGAGCCATCTCCCCAGCCCCTAGATAGTGCTTTTTTGTTTGTTACTGGGTGTTGAACCCAGGTCCTGCACATTCCCAATCTTCTTACTGTTTGAGACCGGATTCTTGCGAAGTTGAGCAGACTGGGCTCCAATTTGTGATCCTCCTACCTCAGCCTTCCAGAATGCTAGTGTTACAGGCATGTGCCACCACACCTAGCTTAAGAGTATTTTAAGGGCCGGGGAGATGGCTCAGTGGAATAAGCGCTTCACTGGCAAGCGCAAGGGCCTGAATTCAATCCCCGGTTCTGCCAAAAGAAAAAAAAGAGATGTAAGAGTATTTTAAAAGCATAGGTGGGGTCGGCCAGATAGCTCAGTGGATTAAAGTGCCTGTTTAGGCAGACCCAGGGACTGAAACCCCCTGCGTGCCGTGCCAGCCCTGCACCCCCATCCAGGGTGCACTGAGACTGGGTGTGATGGTGCACGCCCGTAATCCCAGCACTTGGGAGGCTGAAAACAGGAGGATCACTACAAGTCTCATCTGTGTAGTAAGACCCTGTACTAAATATATATATATATATATATTAAAAGTGATGGAGTCAAATGGCCTGGCTTTGGATCCTGGTTCTGTCCATTGGCTAACTCTGTTACCTCGGGTAAGATATTTTCTAGCTTTTTGTGCCAGTTTCCTCACCCATGCAGTGGTGATAACAACATCTGACAGGATGGCTTCAAAGATTACACAGCTCAGTACACATCAATGAGGACATCTCTAGATCTTTGTAGGCCCTGTAGAAGCAGTAGCTGTCCACCTTATCATTCATCCTCACAAAGCACTTGGGCTTCTGTAGCTTTTTTTGTTTGTTAGTACTAAGAATTAAACTCAGGAGCTTGTGCTTGCCAGGAAGGCACTTCTGCCACTGAGCTATACTCCCAGCCCTGCTGTGGCTTTTTTTCCATAGTACACTTAGGCTATTTACTTCAACTGAGTGGCAAGCCTGCCTCATGGCGGTGGCAGGGCCCTTGGCCCTGTTCTACCTATTTCTGTCCTCTTCTGGAGCTAGCTCTTTGCTCCATCAGTGCTCTCTAGCTCCATTCACGTGTAACTGCTTCCCCTAGCCTCCTTCCAAAATGTGGACTTTCAGAGCCACTCCCCCTAACTTCCTCTCTTTTTCCATGTCCTATACATGTGTTCTCTGCCTCTTTCTTCCCACTTCCCGTCTACCTTCTCCCATAAAGGAGCACTCAAAATAGTCTTATGTGGCACCAGTTTTATTTCTCAGAGAAGGATTTGTAGGCCTGGGTCTATCTTGTCAGGTCCTGGAGCCTCCAGCTTCTCACTTGGCCTTTGGGTTACGGAACTTTCGTCCAGCAAAGATGGCCTTGTCCCCAAGAGCCTCCTCGATCCTAGAATGTAAACAAAGTTATAGCCACTGCCTTCTAGCCCAGTAGTGCTCAGCTCCCCATTTCCTAGGCCACTGTACCCATTGTACCTCATGAGTTGGTTGTATTTGGCCAGGCGCTCTGAGCGGCATGGGGCACCAGTCTTGATCTGAGATAGGAAGAGAGATTTGGGAGAGGCTAAGATGTTGGGCCTGCCTGAGCATTGTATGTTGGCGTTCAGCTTGGGCAGGAAGCTGAGGACCACCCAGAAAACTTGCTCAGAAAATTAAAGGGAAGCCATGAGTACCTGTCCTGTGCAGAGCCCCACCACAAGGTCAGCAATGAACGTGTCCTCAGTCTCCCCAGAGCGGTGGCTCACCATCACCCCCCAGCCATTAGACTGAGCCAGTTTACAGCTGCATTGAAAACACATTTAATGAGGTTTTGTTGGACTGGGAAAGCAGGAACTGGGTTGGACTTTATTGCAAGTTTTTGGGAAGTAGGAGAGATTTTTGATCTTAAATTGGAGGCTCCTGAGATGCTGGTGGGAGAAGCAGCGGAACCCAGAAGAAAGGAATAATATAGGATGGGGGTGGAGAATGTGGCACGGCCATAATGGCAAAGCTGTTAAGAGTCAGGCTGAGATTAGTTAAGGTCTTGAAGTCAAGGTGTGGATGGGTCAGGTGCCAGGGGAAAGGTAGACTTGTAGTTAGTGGGCAAGACTAGTGGAGTGGGCAGAGCTGGGCTATGGATGGCTATGGTGAGTGCAGCTCAGGAGGTACTCACGCCTGTATGGACTCAGTCACTGAGCCAATCTGGTTAACCTTCAACAGTAGACAGTTGCAGGCCTTCTTCTCAACAGCTTGTGCAATTCTCTTGGGGTTGGTAACTGTGAGGTCATCCCCTACGATCTGGATGTCCACCCCCGAGAGGAATGAGGTCCACGTGGCCCAGTCATCCTGGTCGAAGGGGTCCTCAATGGAGACCACTGGTGGAGGTTGGGAGTACAGTCAGTGTTATAACCCGAATCAGCCTCATGGAGGGGTGACAGGTTTGGATGGGGATGGCAACGGGGCTGAGGATAGGACAGACCCAAGTCACAGCAAAGCTGCACCCTGAAATCAGTGTTAGGCAGTTAGAGGGAACTTGGGCAGGAACCCTGGAACAACTCTTATGGCTCACCAGGATAGTTCTTAATGAAGTTCTTATACAGTTCCCCAAGCTTCTCCCCTGTGATGTGCCTGGAAGGATCATCAGGTGACTTGAAGTCAAGATCATACTTCCCACTGCGAAAGAACTCAGATGCTGCCACATCCATGCCGATCACCACCTTGTCTGGGTAACCAGCTGCCTGGATAGCCGTCTTCAGCAGCTCCAGGGCTAGAAAAGACCAAGAGGACCTGAGACTAATATCCCTCACTTTCTATACCCCTTTCTCCCACCGTGGTGGCCCAGGGAATCTGCACCCCAGGTGCTCAGCACTGACCCTCATTGTTCTCCAGGATGTTGGGTGCGAAGCCACCCTCGTCCCCAACGTTGGTGGCATCCTTCCCATACTTGGCCTTGATGACCCCCTTAAGGTGGTGGTAGACCTCAGCACCAATCCGCATGGCTTCCTTAAAAGAGCTAGCTCCCACAGGCAGAATCATGAACTCCTGCATGGCCAGCTTGTTTCCAGCATGGGAGCCCCCATTGATCACATTGAAGGCCTGAGACAGGGAGAGAGTGCTCAGACCTGGGCTGTGAGGGACAAAAAAGGGATGGAAGCTCTAACCCTGACCTTCACACCCCAGCCCAGATCTCCTTGTCTCAACTAAGTAGCTTAGGGTAAGTTTACTTCTCAGAACCTTTCTCCTTATTTCTATAAAATGGGGTTGTTTCCTACCTACTTTCCTCTAGGATCTTCTGCTAAAACTTAGGGAAAGTAAATATGAAGTTCTTAGCTTAACCTTTTTATGGCATTGTTAGAAATGCTTTACATAAATGAGCTCATCAGGCTGGGGAGATGGCTCAGTGGAATAAGCACTTCTCTGGCAAGTGCAAGGGCCTGAGTTCAATCACTGGTTCCACAAAAAAAAAATAAATAAATAAATAAATAAATAAATAAATGAGCTCATCTCATTCTTAAAATACCTCTATATAGCTGGGCACTATGATTACTCCCTACATTACAGATGAGCAAACTGAGGCAGGGACAGCTCAACTTGCCTCAGACCACACAACTAGTAATCTCACAGGGCCAGCAGTTTGTTTCTAGAATCCATGCTGTTACACAACCTTCCTAGTAAACAATAAATGGTAACATACTGAAATTAAATTCTAAGAGCATATTGGTTTAATAAGGACTTGAGAAGATACCAAGAAATACCAAGATCTTTGCCATGCAGAGGCTTTCAATCTGATTTCCGGGGCAGGATGCAGGAATGGAATGAAGCTGGAGTTACCAGCTTGGAGTTGGAATGTGAAGGAAACCAGTGACATAGCCAGGGAAGGAAGCACAAAGAGGCTTCGGGCAAGTTTGGATTGTGGGAAAGAGGGAGGGGCTAGACTGCAGCAGGAGATACTCCATTTCAGGAAACTGCTTCCTAGGAGCTGGGTCTGAAAAGATTTCCCAAGGACTGGTTCAGCATCCATGGATGGCTGAGGGGGCAGCTCTGTCATCCAAGATCTGGCAGGGCCAGGAACACTCACAGGCACTGGGAGTATAAGGTCAGGGTTCCCAGCAAGATCTGCAATGTGTCGGTAGAGTGGGACTCCCTTCTCAGCTGCTCCTGCCTTACACACTGCCAAGGACACGCCCAGGATGGCATTGGCCCCAAACTTGGCTGGAAGGAGGAAAGTGGGAAGAGTGAGAGTTTCTTTTGCAAGGTTTGGGGCTATTTTCTTGAATATCCCCAAAAGGGTCCAAAGCTCCAAACTACAGCATTGTTTTTTTGGTACCAGAACCCCCAGCAACTTAAGGAGCTCTGGGAGCCCCCACCCAAGGGAGATGTGTCAGCTTCACATCTATGCCTGCCTGTTGCTATCCTGAGCCTGGCAAGCAGGGCAGGCATCAGGAAACGCCTGTGGAATAAAGCTATCCAGCTATGGTGTGCCCCAAAATATGGCACACAGAAAAAAAACGCAGCCATACCTCAGCCTCTGTGACCTCTCTCTACCCCTCAGATATCCCACTCTTTCCCCACCTCTGGGCCTTCACTCACACTTATTCTCTGTCCCGTCCAACTCAATCATAAATTTATCGACTTTTTCTTGATCCACGACGCTTAGTTTCTAGAAGGACAGGTTTGAGGGGGTGGGGAAAGAGGTTAGATTTCTCAAGGTTTGGCTTCTGTGAAAATATTTGGGGGAGAAAAGACTACCTGGGGAGAGGGACTGCTTAGGGTGAGAAGTACAGGGGCACAGGCAGGGCAAGGGAAACTAACTCTTCCACTTGCCTTTTCCAGCAGAGCAGGCCCTAGAGTCTTGTTGATGTGCTCCACCGCCTTCAACACTCCTAGAGAAGTCAGGGAGAGGGTTCAGAATTCTAAGTCCATGGACCCCAGCTCCTCAAGGGTTTTGGGTTCTAGTCTTCTACCTGCAGGCCCATGTCCTGAAACTGCCCACACAAGGTCCTTCCTGTTGGTCTTGGCTCACCTTTCCCCAGGTACCGGGATTTGTCTCCATCTCTTAGCTCAAGAGCTTCATAAATACCCGTGGAAGCTCCACTAGGCACAGCTGCTCGGAATCGGCCTGGAAGAATTGGAAGATCACAGAAAGCTCTTCACCCCATCCCCAAAAGCTGTGTTTACTCCGTGGGTGCAGAGATAAAAAGCCAGTGCACAGAGGGAATTAGGTTTCTCCCAGCTTCTCCAGTTGGAAGAGGAGGGCCAGGAGGAAGTCTGGGGAAAGGAGCCTTAGAAAAAGATAGGATGTGGTACAGAACACAAAGGCAAAGGCAAGGTGAGTTTAGCATCTCCCAAGTAAATTGATTCAATGGGTCTGTTGTTACCCTTGGCTGTGTGCAGGTCCACCTCCACTGTGGGGTTGCCCCTGGAGTCCAGGATTTCTCGCGCAAAGATTTTCTGCATGGCCATAGCTGTAGGACAGGAGGTGGGAGTGAGTTTGGACACTTGATCCCTTAAGAAACTAGAAATCTCTTGCCCTTTAAGAGCCTTCCACACCCCAAGAGGGCAGGTGCTAGAGCTAAAAATACCTCTTAGAAAGGTCACAGACCAAAGAGGCAGGCACAGCTCCCCCCAACAGCTCCTGTTCCCACCCTAAGAATTCAGGGGCCCCTGCCTTATAACTCTTTGCATCCCACCACTCCCTAAACGCTTACCTCCCCCAAGACAGTGCTATATCTTCTTCCATCCTTCTGGTCAAAATGTCTCTTCTCTATGGCTTCCTAACCCTCAAATCCTCCCTGGTTCTCATTTTCCTGCTCCCCAAATCTTCATAGGCCTCAGGAGTCCGTACCTAGCCTCAACTGTTTCTCTATTCATCTCTGCCTCTCCTCAAAGCCTCCTTCCCATATCCTGGGGAACTCCCAGTGTTTGCCATCCTGTCAGCTTTGGCCCAGCTCTTCCCAGAACCCTCACTCCAGGATTTAAAAAAAAAAAAAAAAAAGTTGAAATTTCCCTTTTCTCTTAAGCCAGCAACACCCACATCTCCACCCGCTGTGACTGAAAAGTTTCACCAGACCTGGAGTATCTTCCCTGGAGCTCGGGATGGAGCTCTGAGTCGAGGTGGCAGCTGGGACAGTGTCAGCTCAACCCCTCTCAGGCTGGGCATTTATCCCCAGGCACCCTGTCCCCCAGCCAGCCCCGCCTCTCTCTCACTTCAGCCTCCCCCTTCCACTTGGGGCTGGCAGCCAAGTGCCCACTACAGCTTAAAGTAGAATGTGGTCCTAAGCACCTGCCTCTCTCCAAAGGTTAATGACTAGCCCCCCTCTTTCTCTCTGTCCCCCAATAAAAATTCCTACTTTAAATTCCACTCCTTGGGAGGAAAAGGGGAGGGGCTTTAGATTAGGGGGTCTTTCTCCTGCCCAGGATTATATTCCCCTTTAGTTGCAAAGGTTAAAGAGGAACTAGTGCCCTTTAGGAAAGGCCAGAGGTAACTTGAGCTCTGCAGGGCTGGGGAGGGGGCCTGGAAGAGGGGCTGCGGGATTGACATCCACACATGCTCGCTGTGCCCTCTGTGGGGGAAGGGGCCAGGATGCTGGGCGAGCTCTAGAGCATAAAACTTAAACCCCCGCCCCATCCTACCCCACACGCTCATCCAAAAGGCGAGAATATCTCACCTCTCAGGGTCTTCATAACAGCCACTCATCCTACCCTCGGTCAGTGTGTGTGCGCGTGTGAGGGGGCAATTTAGACGGGCCGGCTCAGGGCGCCGTGCCCTGCTGATAGTGCTAGGACAGCACTTGTTGCCCAGCATGTAGCCTGTCAGTCAGGGCCTCCTTTCCTCACCGACTGTGGGGGCTTCTGCGCGCGGCCCCTGCCCATCAGTGAATGGTGTTGACTCAAGAATGAAACAAAATGAATGGACTGGAGGAGGGGGTGGCCCTTTATGAGCATCTGGACCTCGAAGCCGGTTCCTCCGTCTACTTGCAGCCTTGCAGGAAATGGGTATCTACACTAGGTAACTCTCCGGCTGGGAGAGTCTGGGGGGTGAGTGTGGGATCTGCCCCGAGTCCTGTGGCATCCTGGGCCGGCCAATGGGCAGAGATCTCGGGACACGTCGGCTCTACGCTCCAACTCCGCGGCCCCTCCCGCCGGCATCCGAGGAGCCTGCGCCTGGTGACTCACCCCGGGGCCCTCTCTTGAGTTCTCCCGCCCCGCGCGTCCTGCCTCCCTGCCTCCAGCCCAAGTGCCCTACGTGTCTCCCCCCCATCTCCCATCTCTCCTGTCCCCTTTATCTCTGGCCGCTCCCTCCGGGATTTTTCCACCCTCGGGTGGGGAGCGTGCAGGCCAGAGGTCAGGAGACGGCGGGCGGGGAGCCCCGCCACGTGCCCGAGTGCGGCTCCGCCCGGGCCCGCCAGTGACTCAGCCACGCGGCTGTCCAGGAACACCGGCTTGGGGGCGTCGGGGACTGCGGTGGACACAAGAGAACCTCTGCCAATGCACTTGGGAGGATGAGATTGAAGCGAAGCCCCTTGCAGCCTGCCTGAGAGGCCCTGCGTGACCCCGTCACCCCTCCCCCGAGGGACCGGAAGCGACCCAGCCCCTCGGCTGCGAGTTTGGGGGATGGTTCACCAGGGCCAGCCTGGCTAGGCTGCTGACCCCTTCTATGTGGGGCGGCAAGTGACCTGATAGCGCATTACGGCTTTAAGATAAATTTTACTGGGAAAGAAGAAAAACCCAAGGGCGCAAGTAAAAGGGACTTTCCCCTTCTTGAAAAAGTTGCCAACTTTGGAAGTTTAGTATTCTTCCGCTTTGGAAAATTAGTCCCGCCCGCCTTGGGCGCCCGCACGTGATGACCTTTGCAGCGCTGGGCCAAGGGGCACTGCCGGTGACCCAAGTTGCTGGCCGGAGGACGGGCGAGGCTGGAGCTCGGAGGGAGGCCTTGGGCTAGGGCCAGTCTTGGGAAAGGCTAATTCCCTGCAGTGGAGATGTGCTCGAAAGAGCCCAATCTGTATGCCTCGGGCAGAGCCGGGGGACAGGTGCCCCTATGGGTTTTCAGCCCTAAAAACAGCTAGAATACTTCGTCAAATTCCTTTTTACTCTCTTAAGTAAAATTAATACTGTTGAGGCGGCAGCGCGCACGCCAGCGCCCCTTCCGCTTGGCGGGAGACAAGCCCTTGGTCCGCCCGCCTTTCTAGGAGTCCAAATCGGACCAGCCAGGCGCGCGGCCGAGCACCGGCACCTCGAGGTTGGCCCAACCGCCCCGCGCGCTGTCCCTCCCGGCCCCGGCGCAGGCGCGGGCGCACGCGCCGCCGCAGACTGCCGTTCCTTCCCTCCGGCGGAGGTGGGGGAAGAAGTCGTTCCTTTTAACCCTGGGTTCCCCGAACTCTTTTTAATTTGCTCAATTTGCATGTTACTAATTCCTTCTTTTTTCTTTTTCCTCTCTCCTCTGGTTCACTCCCTTTTCCTCTACCAACTCTGGTTTGTATACTGTGCGGACTTAGGCAAACCCTAACAGCCCGTCCTCCGCCAGACCCCCCAGCCTTTCACGTTGCTTTCCATCGAACTCTGCAAATTTTGCAATAGGGGGAGGGATTTTTAAAATTGCATTTGCAAAGTTCGGTATCTGGGCAGGAGAAGAGGAGAGGGAGGGAATGGGAAGAAGGCCCCGCCTCTACCGCCCTTTGCAAATAAAAATCTAGAAGGGGGGAGGAGGAGCAGGAAGTGGCGGTGCGAGGGCTGCTGCACTGCTAGCACAGCCGAGGTCCGGACGGCAGCGCGTGCCCCGAGCTCTCCGCCTATCCCCGCCCGCCTGCCCGAGCCCAGCCCGCGGCCCCAAGCAGCAGTGCCGACAGCAGCCCCAGCACCAACGCCATGGCCGGGTGGAACGCCTACATCGACAACCTCATGGCGGACGGGACCTGTCAGGACGCGGCCATCGTGGGCTATAAGGACTCGCCCTCTGTCTGGGCCGCCGTCCCCGGGAAAACCTTCGTCAACATCACGGTACTGAGAGGCTTGCGGGGTCCCAGGCACTGGCCGGCCTTAGACTCCTGAGGGTGGGGGCAGGCGGGGTCTACGGAGGCCGGGGAGAGGCCAAAACCGGGTCCTTGCCCCGGAACCGGCGCGAATGGCGGTTGCACGTGAACCGGCCGCTTTGCTGTCCCCAAGTCCTACGGCCCTGGCGGCGTCCATCCCGCCAGTCGCCCCGCTTTCCGCGACGGGGCGTTACATCCGGGGCATAGGGCGGGGAGGGGCGCGCCGCCCGGTGCGGCGGCCCACTTCCGCCTCCCCCAGGGCGGGGCGGGCACGCGCTGCAATTTTTAACCAGAAATTGTGATTGAGCAGGGACTTGGGAGCCCTGACTTTTCCCTCAGCCCGCCGACTTGCGCCTCTTCCACCATTGTTCTTCCAAATGCGGGTGGAAAGGCGCGTTGGCTTGATCACTACGCCCGTCCTCGGTGGACTCCCTGCTCCTCCTAACTCCGTTAGAGAGGGTGAGGCCGCTTCACACACCCCCAATTCTGCACGTTGGCCTCAACATTCCTGTGTGGCCAATCCCGGAAGTACTCTCGCCCTCCCTTCCCGCCATATGTCGGGGCCTGGAGCAGGGGAACTTTGTAAGAAGTTCTAAGTTGGTATAAGTGAGGGAATAAGGGATGACTGCTGCTGTCCCTACAGCCACCTCCCCTGGCCACACTGCCCGGAAGTGGGGAGGGGTAGCGGAAGTTCGAAAGGGGGGAAGGGGATTTCCGGGCGGGAGGGGACCGGATACGGGGATTTGGGGTGTAAGGGGGAGGGGGAGAAAGTTTCCCTGGGGTATTTAGACCCTAAAGCTGGTTTACCCGGTCTAGCTCCAACCTCCTACAAGTTTTCCAACTTTACCAGAAAGCCTCCAGGGGTCTGCTTCCTTATCTTGAGATGTAGATACCTGGACTTAAACTTTAGGTTACTTGGAGACCCAGGCGTCCGGGCCCCTAACATCTCCTGCAGAACCTTTGACCAAATAAGGGCAAAGTTGCTTCTCCTGCCTTGCCCGCCCCCTCCCTCCCTCTCTCTGCTTCTGCTTTTCCTGAAGGAGACTCTGAGCATCCAAGGCTTTCCCCACTGTCCTCACTAGCTTTTGGTCCCCTATTTTCCTGTGTTGCTTTTCATATTAAACACAGATCTCAATGATTGGAAGAATCTGTTAATTTTTGCTCTCTGGTTCCGTTTACTAGGTTTCAGAATCATGATGCTTTCTGTACCAACTTGTCACAGTACTTTATAAAATTTCATTGATATGTGCAGAGCCCTCACCACCACGCTAGAGTAGCTCCCAGAGAAGTAAAAAAAAACAGGTGGGCACTTGGAGAACAAGGTGGGAACCTTGGTGCACTAACGCTTTGGGTGCTTGATTGATCTTCTAGCCAGCTGAAGTCGGTGTCCTGGTTGGCAAAGATCGGTCAAGTTTTTTTGTGAATGGGCTGACACTTGGGGGTCAGAAATGTTCTGTGATCCGGGACTCACTGCATCAGGATGGGGAATTTACCATGGATCTTCGTACCAAGAGCACTGGTGGAGCCCCTACTTTCAACGTCACTGTCACCATGACTGCCAAGAGTGAGTTTGTTTCATCCCTCCTCTGGCTCTGAGTTCCCTGTGTACTTAATTTTTAAATCTTTTTGGGTTTTTTTCAGCAGTTCTCCAGTATTAAGGGGTCAGCCTTGCATTTGGCTGGGTGCTGGTGCCTTGGATAGTCCCTCTAGTTTTGTTTTAGTTCCTCATCTTGTAACATAAAGAAGTTGAACTGCATTGCCTCTTAAATTACTTCCTGCATTGAGATTATTCAGATTGGAAATCTTGTTTTCTTGGAGTAATTGTTGGGATCCTAAATCAGTGTGACTCTGATCTTTTGAGCTCTTTTCAGTTAAAGTGAGATGGCATGCTCCTCATCCATAGCCATTTCTAGCCTGAGCATGCGAATCTAGTATATTAGCCTCTGACCCCTAAACTTTAGCTTGTTCTTTCTAGCCTTTAAGGCTGATTTTCCCTTTTTGAAAAGCTCTTTTGTTTCTGGGTGACTGACAGCCTGCCTGTGTGTGTGTGTGGGGGGGGGGAGTTGGGAAGGATGAGGTTGGGTTTCAGCCCCCAGGGCTGAACAGCTGCTGAACAGCTGGCAGGGGGTGGATTTGTGACACCTGGGTCCTAGCCTTCTTTCTCTTTCCTCCAGCGCTAGTCCTGCTGATGGGCAAAGAAGGTGTCCACGGTGGTATGATCAACAAGAAATGTTATGAAATGGCCTCCCACCTGCGGCGTGCCCAGTACTGACCTCGTCTGTCCCTTCCCCTCCCACCATTCCCAACTGCTTTTGCACCCCCTCCTTCCCGAACACACACATACACAATTTTTATTTGGGGGGTCATTACCCCGTATCCTTTATTGCTGCCAAAACCACATGGGCTGGGGGCTGGGGCTGGATGGACAGATACCTCCCCCTACCCATAACCCTTCCTATGTGTGGTTGGAAAAACTTTGGTTTTGTTTCTGATTTTTTTTTTTTGGTGTTTTGTTTTTTTTTTTTTTCTGAATAAAAAAAGATTCTAACAAGATGCTGTGGTGTTTGAGCTTGGGTGTCAGGATGGAGGATAGGCACTATGATGTGCTTTTATCCTGGCCTGGAGTTGGGAGCAGGAAGGTTTAGGCACCACCAAGTCCAGCTGTGTCTACGCATCTTACCTCCATGTCCAAGATTGAACCCTCCTGAACTCCATTTTCCTGCTCTGCATTCCCAGGTCCAGGACTAAGCCCAAGTGGCCTGGTTCCTTTATGGTGGTATTTCCCAGCCTAGGTCCTCAAGTGTGTTAGTCAAATTGGTAGGTAATGGAATAGAGCCATTCAGACCAGAGAATAGGTCCAAGCCTGTGGGTAAGGCAGGGCCAATTGAGTCATCCTCATCTGTAGGTGGGGCTCCCCTTCTGAGTCACAGCAATACTGGTGCTGTCCCTCTTGACTACAGGTTTCCCAGTGCTCCCCTAGAAAAAATGTTTCCAAAGGATGTGATGTTCCCCTGTTCTTGCAAATGACCTTACCCTTAGTCCACAAAAACAATTTTATTAAGCCAAGAAATGATCGCTCCTTTGCCAATTCTCCCAATTCCTTCAAAAGGATGAGGCAGGGTAAGGGAGAAACCTGGGATGGACGTATTCCCTCTATCCCTCAGATGAGAAGATTTAAGGGAGGAAGGCCTGTGCCTGTGCCAGCAGCTTACCAGAGGTGCAGGGTGTGGGAGCCTTAAACTGGGATGGCTGGTGAAGAGGAGGGAGAGGGTGGGTGTTCCACTGAGGGCCCAGGAAAAATAAGAGGGGCTGAGGCTAAGGAGCCAAAGGAAGTAGGGAGTGTGGGACTGGAGCCCAGGAGTGGGGTCCGTTCTGAGGCCAGGTGGTCCCTTGGTTCCCCTTCCTCATCACCCTCTTGCCCCTGAGTGTCTTCCTCGTCCCCAGGACCACGATGAACAGGCTGCTTGCAGATGGGGCAAGTCTTCCGAGTCTGAGTGAGCCAGGGGTCCACACAGTGGCTGTGGTAGGCTGCAGAGAAGTGACGTGAAGTACCTGGCACCTGTTTGGGGCATGGGGTGCCGGCACAGGCAGTGAAAACCTCACCATGAGCACAGGGGAGGATCCGAAGCTTGTCCCCATCCTCATACTCATCCAGGCAGATGGCACAGACATCATACTGGTCTCCTATGGGAAAAAGGAATCCAGTCTTAACTGAGTTACTCTGAATCAGGGTCCGTAAGAACTTAAGAGGCTTGTAGTACAACTAAATCCTTCAAAAAATGGGGGCTGGGGAGATGGCTCAGTAGAGTAAGTGCTTGCCTAGCAAGGGCAAGGGCCTGAGTTCAATCCCCAGTTCCACAAAAAAAAAAAAAAAAATTCCGATTCTACAGAGCCACAGAGGTGCTAAAACTGAGGCAGGCAGGACCAGGCCTTAAAGCAGGGCAGAACATGGAAGAACTTGGAGATGGAGGTGAAATGTGGGCTGAAAAGGCCAAGTAAGTTAGCAGAGGTAAGAAGGGAAGTGGGTTTGGGGGAGGAGGGTTGAGGGTAAGAGACAGGAGAGGAAATGGGGGGCAGGGCTTCTGCTATAGCCTTATAAGGACACTGGAGGCTCCAGGGCTCAAAAACCCAGCCTCCTACCTGTTTTCCTCTCGGTCCTTTTTTTTTTTTTTTTCCTTTCCACTCTTATTTAGTACAGGGTCTCACTACACATATCAGACTCATAGTGATCCCCATTTTTCAGCCTCCCAAGCCCTGGGATTACAGGTGCGCATGCCTGTCCAGTCTCAACAACATCTCAGCACAGGGCCAGCAGGGGATCGAACCCCCAATCCCTGGGTCTGCCTAAGCAGGTGCTTTAATCTGCTGGGCTATCTGGCCAGCCTTTTTTTTTTTTAAAGTCTTTGTGAAAGGGTCTCACTATGCAGTTCAGGCTGGCCTTGAGCTCACTTTGCAGTCCAGGCTAGTCTCAAACTCAAATGATTCTCCTGCCTCGCCTTTTAAGTGCTGGGATTATAGGCATGTGCCACCACACCCGGCTTCCCCTTCCTTATGCCCAAAGTCTACCATTTCTCCTTACTACTTCATTTAATCATTGCTTTCCATATCCTGCTCTGTTCTCTCCTGTCCTCACTGCACATGTAGGTAAAGAGAAGAGGTGGCTTCTCAGGCTAAAACCATTTCAGTGCCCTATCTTTGTACCACTTAGGGCCTAGGCTCAGAGGCCTTCAGAACCAGGTAAGCCATGAGAAAGACCCTCCCTCTTATTCCCTCACCTTTCTGATAGTCATGAGTAGGAATCTGTTTCAGTTGCTCTTTGGTAAGTCGATTCCGCTGGAGCCGTTTCCGATGCTGGATACAACGAACTATCTAGGGGAAGGGTGAGTGGATGCGATCAGGCTTAGAAAAGGTAACTGCACAATCTAGCACAGTGATGGTGAACCTATTAGTGATGAATGCTCAAAGTACAACCCCAAACCCACTTTTTTAAATCACAAAGTGACACTCCAATTAAATCCAAACGTTGAAAAAAAAAAACACCCCTTTCATACATTAACATCTTCTGTCTTAATAACACACATGCCATAGGTTCACCACTACTGATCTCACGCACCTACCACACCCTCCTCCCATCTCCAGATCTCTGATTTCACATCTCCATATAAACTGGTTCTTTCCCTAAGGTTCCCCAAGCTACCCACCATTACTGCTCCCATGGCCAAAACCAGCAGTCCTACAATCCCAGTGAAAGGAATGAGGTAATAGCCCAAGGGGAAGCTGTTGTCTGGAACCAGAAGCACCCGAGCCCTGAGGGAAAAAGATCAATCTTAAGAGTCAAAAAAGCAAAACTGGGAGGGTAACTGGGTTTGGACTGTGGAGAGAGTGGGAGGAAAGTCAGCCGGCAAGGAAGCCAAGGCTGAGTGGTTGGGGCGATGAGGGCTGGGCTCCAGGTTAGCATGGAGCTGCTGAAGAAAGAGTAGGAAGGGGCCACAAGTCCTACCCCTTCTCGTAGACAAAGAGGGCACGCAGGTACTCGGCACTCCTCTCCCCAATAAACACAGACGGGATCCAGATCTGCTGTTGGATTTCCTCTGCAGGGATCAGGGCATTACACCATGAACTCAATCTACCATTCCTAAAATACTTTGGGAATCCTGACATTTGGTTCAGACACACACAATTTTCCCTAAGCCTTTAGCCCTCCCACTGTCTCTGTCTGACTCTACTGAATACCCAGCTGTCCAGATCAACTCTTACCACTATTCCACACCATGTTCAGCAGTTCATTGGAATTTACATTGTGTACCACAGCTGCACCATACCCAGCCTTCTGAGCATTTAGGACCTAGGAAGACAAGGCAGGGCATAAGGAACCATCATTGGTCTTACCTTTTTCATTCTGGGTGTTTTTGTTCACCCTCAGCTTCCCATTCCCATTCCACATTCAGCAACCTTGAGGTCAAAGTTGCAGTCGAATCTCCGAAGCAGTGCAATAAAGACTGACCCATTGACCGGGGCTGGGGGTGGTGGGGCAATAGGACTGCAGGCATTTTCTGGGTGAGCCTCCACAAGGAACCCCTGGTGGGCAGAAGCAAACATCAGTTGGATTTGTCCACTCTAGGTTCTGCTGCTTCCCACAGGGCCCACCAAATAAATGTACTGCCCACCTCCCTGCCAGCTATACAATTCTCTTCTCCCTTATTCATGGGGTCTGAGTATCCCACCCACATCTGAAATCTACATCTGAAGTACAATTACAGCAAACTAATTAATCACTTCCTGTTCCAAATAGGCTAAGTCAATTCTGTGTTCCAGTAACCTGGTTGTAATCCATGTCCCATTCTGAAATTGTTTCTCATTTCTCTCATCAGTACACAGAATATACCTGCCTCTCTTCATTTCTGCAACTACCCATCTTACAATCCGCTAACATGGCCCAACTAGGTTCTTGTGTAGCAGCCTTTATAATGAATTACTAGACAACTGATTGCCTAATTGTCTTCTCATACAATAACCCTATTATAATTTATGTTGCTATCCTATATTATATACTAAAAGGCTCAAAAAGAGAATGCTTATCCAAAGTCATACAAACAACGGGCTCCAGAACCTATTGAGAAGCACCACTTCATCCAGCGTTTTTATTTTGGTACATTTTTAGTCTTCAAGTTTGGAGTTGGAGGATGAACTGTCTTCTTATACTTCTAGGTTCTGGATTCCACACAGACATGGACTTGGTTCCTAATCTATCTTTTTATACTTCTAGCTTCACTCTGAACATGATTACTCAGCTTATGTCCAAGATAGAGGATATGGGGAAGTATAAAACTGGGAAGATCACCTGGAGTCCCTCCTGACTCAGGGTAGCCCCGAACAGAGCTGGGAGGTCTGCAAAGTCCATACTGGCATTGTGTTCCGAGGTCTGCAAAGAAAAATGGCCATGTCTCCCTTCAGGCTTCAACTCCCTCCCTTCAGCGCCCTCCCCCGTCCGCTCTTTGGACTCACCGCTCGAATGAGCCCCCGGATGGGGGTCGCTCCCCACAGGACAGTGGCCACAACCACAGGAAGTGGGAAGGCCGCAGGGTGCATGGCCGCGGGAGGGGAAACGCTGAGGAGGTTGTGCCCCCGTAGCAGGAGTAAAAGCGGGTTTTGCGCCCTCCCTGCCCCTCCTTCAGGGTCCCAGGGGTCCAGTCACCCCCAGGTTTCACCTCTCAGCTACATGGGGGCGTCGGGGAAGGAACCCCGACTCCGGGAGTGAGATACACAACCCGTTTGATGGAGCCGAGAGGGAGACAGTAAGTACGTTTTTCTGGTGCGGAGAGGGAACAGAGACAAACACAGGTAATAGAAAAACTTCTGAAGGATGGGGGTGCGCAAGGAGGTGGAACTTCCGGCCAGGTGGGCCGTCTTCCTATACCCTGGAAAAGGGTTTCCGGTAAAGAAAGTCAAGCCGTTTCCAACATTGGACGGTCATATGAAGGACTCCCGGTTCTAAAAGGCTGGTTAAAAGAAGTGTTACAGGTGGAAGGATGCCCCGAAGATGAGCCAGTCGTTTCCCTTTAGTACCCGGGATTCCTCCGAGAACTACCTTGTTTACAAACCTCTCTTTTGGCCGTCGTCGCCGTCGCACCTTCAAATCTCGCGAGAGCGTTCACATTCCTCCAACTCCCCCGCTTCCGACTAGCCGCTACTGGAATATTGCTCTATCGCGAGAGACTTCCAAGTCTGACTCGTTCGACTCGCTCGCTCTCGCGAGACCTTAAAAAAAACCCCACTTTTCCCGCTATTACAAATTGGTAAAAATTGCGCTTGTAATCTGGGTTCTTAAACCAGCCACACCCCTTTCCTCTAGCCTCCTTCAAACTCCTCCTCCAGCTCCGCCTTACTCCCAGCCGCCTTTGCGCTGCGCGCCTGCGCCAGCGCCAGCTTCCAGCTTGTGCTGGACCTAAGAGCTGGAGGGGCGCGCGCCCTGTCCTGTTGCGCGCTCAGTGTCACCTTGGGCGCGAGCGGGCCGCGCGCGCGCGGGACCCGGAGCCAAAAGCCATTGAGTAGCGATGGCGGCGACGGCGAATCCCGGGGCCAGCGGGATGGACGGGAAGCCCCGTACCTCCCCTAAATCCGTCAAGTTCCTGTTTGGGGGCCTGGCCGGGTAAGCTCAGGCCCCAGGGATGGAAAAGGAGGAAGGGACGGGTGCAAGGAATTGGGCCCTGCTCTTCTGTTGATCCTCTGCCGGCATGAGGTTAGCCTGATCCCCAGCATATTGTGAGGTCCTTGATGTTCTGCCAGGATCTTTTTATCCATTACAGGGCCCCTAGTGGGCTGCATGCAGGGTCATTGCTTGACGCTCATTGGGCCACCAGTATTTCCCTGCCTGCTGCTTGGCTCTCTGCCTGACTATATGGGGTTCTAGGTTATCAGATGGTTCCCTGTAGGACTACTTAGAGTCCCAGATCCTGGATGCTCCCTTCCCTGCCACGTTGAATTGGACTGCATGCCGTCCGTGTTCGCTGCTTGACCCCCATGGAGCTGCATGGAAGCACTTTCATATCATGGCTCCTACTGGACAAGTGTACTTTTCAGACATGTTGCTCTTGGTGCACCCACAGTTTTATATACACGCCCTTCAGCCTCCTGACTGCTTAACCACATGGCAGGCCCTGACCTTTGTAACTGCTGCCGGGCTTCACTAGGCACTAGCGGATTTAAAACACGACTCTTACTCCACTCTTGCCTTCCTCCAGGATGGGAGCTACAGTGTTTGTGCAACCCTTGGACCTGGTGAAGAACCGCATGCAGCTGAGCGGGGAGGGGGCCAAGACAAGAGAATACAAAACCAGCTTCCATGCCCTCACCAGCATCCTGAAGGCAGAAGGGCTAAGGGGCATTTATACCGGGTATTGGGCCTCAGGTTGGGGAGTGGGTGGGGTTTGTAGGGACCAGATAGTGGCCTGATGCACTGACCCTTTTGCTTCCCAGGCTGTCCGCTGGCCTGTTGCGCCAAGCAACATATACTACTACTCGCCTTGGTATCTATACTGTGCTGTTTGAGCGCCTGACTGGGGCAGATGGTACACCCCCTGGCTTTCTGCTAAAGGCCTTGATTGGCATGACTGCAGGTGCAACTGGTGCATTTGTGGGAACACCAGCTGAGGTGGCTCTTATCCGGATGACTGCTGATGGCCGGTGAGTTCCAGTCCAAAACCTAACCCAAGCCCTATACCTGGATTCTAGAATGAAAGACCAGTTTTTTTGTTTGCTTGCTTTTGCCCCATCCCCACCAGATTTAGAGCAGGGCACCTGTTTGTGCCTCTCTTCTGCTTCTGTGAGCAGTGTGTTTTATACTGGTCTTGGCTTATCTTTGTCTCCTTCACCAGGCTTCCTGCTGACCAGCGCCGTGGCTACAAAAATGTGTTTAATGCCCTGATTCGAATTGCCCGGGAAGAGGGAATTCCCACACTGTGGCGAGTAAGTAAAGGGGCTGGGGGGCCGGGGAGATGGCTCAGTAGAATAAGTGCTTCCCTGGCAAGTTCAAGGGCCTGAGTTCAATCCCCAGTTCCGGAAAAAAAAGGGGGGGGGAGCTGGAGATTTGAGGGATAGGGGTTTGATCTCTGGTATTTTTGACGCTTCCTCCACTCCCCCACCTCCAGGGCTGCATCCCTACCATGGCTCGGGCTGTTGTTGTCAATGCTGCCCAGCTCGCCTCATACTCTCAGTCCAAGCAGTTCTTACTGGATTCAGGTGAGGCTGAGAGTTAGGTACTCAGCTTCCAGTTTGTCTAGGGCCACCCCTGAGCTCACCGATACTCCCTGCCTTACCCCCCAGGCTATTTCTCGGATAATATTCTGTGCCACTTCTGTGCCAGCATGATCAGTGGCCTCGTCACTACTGCCGCCTCCATGCCTGTGGACATTGTCAAGACCCGGTGAGTGCAGACCTGGGTCTTGAGAGCAGTGGGAAGGTCCCCTGCAGTCTCTTACGCTCCTGCGTCTTTTTCAGGATTCAGAACATGCGAATGATTGACGGGAAGCCAGAATACAAGAATGGGCTGGTGAGGAAGCTTGGGGGCTTGAGCTGGATGGAGTGTTGGCTACCCCGGGAGGCATAGAAGGGCTGCTAGATAAAGGGGGTGGGGCTGTAGAGCCAGGTTCTACCCCAGCACCCTGCCTGCTGTCTGCCTAGGATGTGCTGGTGAAAGTCGTCCGCTATGAGGGATTCTTCAGCCTCTGGAAGGGCTTCACGCCGTACTATGCCCGCCTGGGCCCCCACACGGTCCTCACCTTCATCTTCTTGGAGCAGATGAACAAGGCCTACAAGCGTCTCTTCCTTAGTGGCTGAGGTGGTGGGGTGCCTGGAGCCAGTGTGCTGGGGCTCCTGGTCACCCCTCACTCCTACAGTCACTGCTCCCTAGGGGTCTGGACTCTGTTGCCCCAGGCCCCTCTATTTATTTCCCTGCCACAGTGTGGTTTCTTCCTTTGCGGTAAAGGACTTTGGTCTGTTCTGCTCCCTGGTCCAGCTTGCCCTGCTTCTGATGTCTGATTCTTAGGACTACTCTGTCCTTCGTTGTCCCCTGGGGGAACTGGGAAACTCCCTGAGGATTCTAGTGTCTTCTAGGATATTGGTTTCAGGACAACACAGCAGAAGATTCCCTTTGTCACTGGGGAAACCAAGGCAGAGCTGAGGGAACAGGAGAGGGCAAAAGGTATCAAGATGATCAAAGGGTCCACGGTGGAAGGGGCCCTTCCTCCCCCGTCACTGAGGACTTAATAAATTGGATTGATGACAGAATCCCCAAATCTGGCTAGTTTTGGGGCTCAGAAAGGGGAGGAGACTGGACAAAGAAGCTTATGTCTGTGGAGAAAAGGAACTGGAGTTTTTAAGAAAAAATATTAAAAAGCACTGGCTGGTTTTACGGAAGTTATATGTAAATCAGTCATGCCACAGCAGAGGACAAGGCAAAGAAATCAAAACTCTGACCTTGTGTGTTGCTTCTTAGCCACTTGCCCAAGAATGCAAGGAACACGCAAATCATGTCACATAATTCTCTGGAAAAGATTCTGTGATCTAGTGACTACTTCTGCAACTAAAGCCAGTGTGTGTGTGTGTGTGTGTGTGCGTGCGCGCGTGCGCGCGCGCGCGCGTGCGCGCGCGCGAGAGAGAGAGAGAGAGAGAGAGAGAGAGAGAGAGAGAGATTTGTGGGCTGTAGACCCAAGGGTGAGGAATGGAAAAGCAGTACATATGGGGTGGATACTGGAACCACACCCAAAAGCTTATGGGAAGAGAGTGTATTGGTCAGAACCTGTGCTAGCTGGAGAATGTGCTGCCTCTTCTATTTTTTGTGAAGTATGATTCCTAGGTCCTGCTTCAAGGAGTCTACTAATCTCTTGAAGCATGGAAAGGTCAAAAGTAGGGGGAGTGCTGTGTAGTTTGAGGCCCGGGTGCTGTGTGCCAAGCCAAGGGACAGGCAGGCAGCAGGTGGGAGCTGTCTCCTTGGCAGAGCCTTGTGAACAGAAAAGGTGGAACATACTGATGCCCCTCCTGCAGCGTCCCTTACCCCTCCATTCCCACCTTCCTGGGCCACGGTGGCTCCTTTGAGACATCTGAAGCCAGCACCTTGGCCTTAAAGAATTTCAGGCCTAGCAGGAAGTTTACACTGAGCATTTGAGAAATGGCATGTGATAGATTATTCCAGGGTAACTTGGAACACTTGGCCCAGCCTAGGAGGAGGAACTAAACACACTGGTCAGTTTGGGAAGATGGGCAGAGACGGAACTGATGGCTAGAGGACACCAACAGCTCAGAGGAGAAACACTGCTGGGAGCAGGTGGTCTGTTGGGTATTTCGGTGTTTATTCACTGAAGAGTGTGTTCATGAGAGATGAAGAATGTGAGACTTAGTGTAAGGAAATCCAGAATTACTAAGCTCACATTTGTCCTGGGGCTGAAGGTGTACCTCACATATGAGGCTTTGGGTTGATCATCAATACTATGAAAAGTTTCTCTACCTGGAGAAATGTTCAAAGCACAAAAACACCAGATTCTCATGTTACTAAGACCCCTTCCATAACCATCTGCAGGAGAGGGCCTCAGGTGCCCAGAAGACCTGGCTTTCATCACCATTCTCTGAATTGCTCTTAAGCCCAAGACTGGGCTGAGGATCCAGCAGGAGAAGAAGCTTCACCAGTGTGGTTAGATAACGGCAGAATCAGTGAGATGAAAAAAAAAAAGTCCCATTTGCTTGCCTCCTTGGCTCAAGAGCTGAAAACCTTAGACTTCAGTCAAACCTACCAGCATGACATATATTGCCAGACCCCCACTATCTTCATGTTCCACTGACATGGGCAATGGGGTGGGCTTCGTTACTGGGGCTGTGTTGCAGATTTCCATCTCCATACCTAGGACTGTAGGCTGTAGGCAATAGGTCTCTGAAGTATGGACTGTAGGATACTTACCAGTCTGTTGGAGCTAATGATTATGGTGGTCTGGTGGGTGGCCACCCTCACAGGAGAGGAGCCAACCCAGGCAGGGGAAGCACTGGGTATGACTTGAGGTTTGTTGGAACCAAAGTGAGGGCAGTTGGGACTTTGGGAATTCTTGTGACAGTTACCCCAGTAAATCTTTTCCGAAGGAAACCATTTTCTTTTTAAAAGTTTTTTTATTGTACAAATATACAGTCAGGATGGAAAGCTAGAAATTGCTGAACAGCAGGGGATAATTCATATGACATCCAAACAGAATCAAGACATTCTGAAAAAATTCAGTTTCCAAATTTTCTTATAGGTAAAGATGCATGTGGGAGCCATGTACTAACTAGTCTTTATTTGCTCCAACTCCCCCTCCCCGTCTTTAAGTGAAGACCTGAAAAAAAAAAAGAAAAGAAAAGAAAGAAACTTCCCAAATATAATGGCAGTAACTGCATGGCCTGGCAAGCCCTCCCCATGCCCCAAGCAGCAAGGAGAGCTTAGCTTTATGACCTTCCCAACTCTATCCTCTTAACTACCCTTCCTGATTTGTACGGGCTGGGATTGTGTTCTTAAATGTGAAAAGAAGGCTTCAGGTAAAGGAAAAGTAATTAAAACCTTGTGATCCTGTATGTTTTACACCATCATCCCAGTTAGATACCATAAGACGACTCATACAAACCTCTCAAGGATGCCTCAAATCTCTTGTCTTCAGAGGCTGTGGCCAGAGTACCTAATACTCACTGTGCCCAGCAGATCCTGCCCACGACCCTGACTCAGGGCTGAAGGCCGCCGTCCTGCTACCAGAGGCCCCACACGGCCATTAGGCCTTATCCACAGGAAGAGGCTAGAACGGAAAGTGGGGAGTGAGCCTTGAAGGAAGAACAGCCGAGCCCGAGGCATGGTTATTTCCCTTCCTCTCTGTACCTCCAGTTGTGTGGTGTGCATGGCTGTAGTCAGGGAAACAGGCTGTGGTTTCACATGCCAAACCCAAGTTAGTAGCAGGATGAGGACCACAGAGGCAAACAGGAGCCAGAGGATACCCAGGGCATAGAAGACAAGGGGGAGTAGACAGCAAAACTCAGGGTTGAGAAAAAAATCACTTCTGGAGCTATCAAAATTCCCTTGAATTACCACTGGCACCTGTAAGGAGTTGACAAATTCTGTGGTGTCTGTTGTGATAAATTCTGAGAAACTACGGAATAGGTTAGTTTCTGCATTAGATGTTAGTTCTGGGATGGTCCAAATTGTGGTGCTCTCTGGGAAATTAAAGGTTGTATGTTTTGGAGTGGTAGATTCTGGGGCAAATGGGGTTGAGGTAGACTCTAGGGTAGCTAAGGTTGTAAGTTCTAGAATAGTTGAGGTTGTGGGTTCTGAGGTGTTCTGGGTTGTGGGGGTAGGTTCTGGAGTAGTCTGTGTTGTGGGGGTGGGTTCTGGAGTGGTCTGGGTTGTAGGGATGGGTTCTGGTGTTGTTTGGGTTGTGGGGGTAGGTTCTGGAGTGATCTGGGTTGTAGGGATAGGTTCTGGTGTTGTCTGGGTTGTGGGGGTAGGTTCTGGAGTGGTTTGGGTTGTGGCAATAGCTTCTATTGTCTTTAGAGCTTTTATTGGCTCTATAGCAGTCAAGGTTGTAGATTCTAGGATGGTCAGAGATGTGGTGGGTTCAGTAATAAGTTTGGGGGTTTGGGAGAATGTGAGAGATTCTATGGACATGTGGAGGAATGTGGAGGACTCTGGGATCCATGTATGTTGCTGTGTAGTCTGTTTCCTAGTGGATTCTTGTGTCATTTGCTTCTCTAGAGGAGAAATAGATTCTGAATGGGGCAGGCTCCAGTGGGTCGTATGGACTTTGGGGTTGGTAGCAAACATGACCACAGTCTTTCTGGAAGGCACATCAGTCTCTTCAAGTGTGTTATAGTCATCATAGAGTGTGTCGCTATCACCAAGGTTGGGGCAGTCCTTGCCTGGGTATGTATAGATAGGTGTTCTGCCCACATTGGCACATTGCACACTGGATACATTGGGGGTCATACCCTTTTCATCTACACCTTCCTTCCATATATAGACATTGTTGGAATTGCCCTGCAGCCAGCGACTGAAATACAGGATCTCACAATCACAGTACCAGGGGTTGCTATGGAGAAAAGCAAAAGGCAGAAAGAGGTCCCCAAAGAAACCCTTTGGTATTGTCTGTAATAAGTTATTTTGGAGGAAGAGTGTGTCAAGATCCTCCATGTTACTCAGCAGCCCAGGAGGAACGTTAGTCAGACGGTTGTTGGCTAAATTGAGCTTCTTCAACTGGGATGTGGATGCCAAGAGCCCAGGGGGCAAAGTCTTCAGTTTGTTGTCTTGTAGGTAGAGCTCATGGAGCTGGCTCAGGCCATCAAAGGCACCAGGAGCCAATGAAGTCAGCTGGTTGAATGAGACATCCAGAGTATTGAGCGCAGGCAGTGCCTGCTGTAGAAAGGGCAGTCGTTTCAGCTTATTGTGGGATATATCCAGGGTCTTCAAAGATGGCAAAACTGCATCTACCTGCAGGTCGGCCAGCTCAGTATGATCCAGGTACAGCTGAGTGAGATGAGTGAAAGGCACCAGGGATGCTAGGGAGAAGGTGACCAGGAGGTTCTTACCCAGGTGGAGGATGGCTGTGTCTGTTCGCAAGCCTGCAGGCAGCCCTTTCAGGTTCATGTCTTCACAGTTCATGATTAGCCGTTTGTCCACATTGGAGACCTCAATCTCAGCCTCACAGATGGGATGCAGGTGTAAGGGGCGTGGCAGCATAAGCAGCAAGAGGAGGAGAGGCATGGGGACCTGCGGACAAAGGGACCTTGAGTGAACACCCCACCAGCTCCTGCCATAATTTTCTCAGGCCTCATTCCAGTAGCACACAGATTCTACAACCTCCCCATTCTCCTCTCCCACCCTTGCCCCCAAAGCCTAAATTATTAACTCCAGATTCTTGGCTCTTATCCCTCCATCAAACCTTCCTCCTCCCCAGCCCCAAACCCACTTACAGGCAAGCAGAAAGACCTCTGAGGACACAGAGCTTCTCCCAGGCTGTGAGTTGGTCCTTCCCTTTTCTAGCTCCAGAAAGGGCCAGGCCAGTGGCAGGAAGGGGATGGGAATGCGGAGGAAATGCCAGCCTGATAGGGATTCCTGTGACCTAGGGACTTGGTTCCTTCCCACAATAAGCCCTTATCACCTCCCTCCACAACTTTCCCTAACCCCTCCTTTTGACTCTATTTTCTCCTCCTTTCCTTCCACACTGAGGAGATCTTAAGTGGACCGCAACCGCCACTTTTGTTCAGCTTTTAAAAGCCTTTCCAGGTGTCACCCCTACCCCCTTCTTTGAAATGCCTAATTTTAATTTTTTTCCATTCTCACCTTCTTCTGCCTTCTCTCTCCACCACAGGCTGATTTCCACCTCCACTACTTTGTTATCTTGATTTTTGCAAAGGTTGCTAGTGCTTTCCGTGCCTCCAAACCCTTTAGACACTTCCCAGTATACTGTTACTTGAGTTTTGCAGCCCAACACTAGTTCTTTGGAGCACTCCCTCCATGGGACTCTTTGGCCTTCGGTGACTCAGTCACTTATTTTCTTCATTTTCCTCTTACCTGTCTGATTGGTGATTCTTGATTTCCTTTGTGAATTTTTCTTCCTCCTCCCTTCCTGAGATGTTCACTTGCCCCCAGATCCTATTCTATTTTCTCTTTCTCTCTCTCTCTTTCTCCCTCCCTTCCTCCCTCCCCCCTCTTTCTTTGTGTGGCTGGTTCAGCCCACCCTGAGGCAGGGCTGGTGCGGCATGTGGTGCTGGGGATTAAACCGTGGTCACTGCACGTTTGCCTAAGCTAGCCTATGCAGGTGCTTTAGACTGCTGAGCTATCTCTCGCTAGCCACTTTTTTTTTTAAGCAATTTTTTTTGACATCAGTTATTTTTATTTTAAAGAAAAAAAAA